GAGGCGGCGGCCCTCGCGGGGTCCAGATGCCGCGGGGACACGTCCGTGGACCTGAGAGGCTTGTGACTCTGTCTGAAAGGCCTGTCCTTCCCGTCCCCCTTCCCGGGGTCACAATGGAAGCGGTGGTCCCTCCTGCTCCCGGGATCCGGCACCATCGCGCCATTTCTCTGCTGCGCGGACAGGAGGCGGGCGTCGGCCAAGGTCTTGTCCAAGCTCCGCAAGCTCTCGGGGAGCCCCGCCGCCTCCCGGTGCAGGGCCTGGGCCCCGCGCCCCGGGCCGCCCTGCAGCAGGGCTCGCGGATGCGGCTTCTTCAGGGAGCGACCCAGGGAGGTGCCCATCTGCTTCCGGAAGAAGGCCGAGTGCCACTTCAGGTCCTCGATCCTGGGGGCGTCGGGGCCCACCGAGGGGCTGTTGAACAGGAGCACGCTTTCCAGGGAGGCGGCGGAGCAGGATGAAGGCACACCTGCGGCGGACAAGCAGAGAAAGGGGGGTTACCCTGGGAAGGGAACGCCCGCAGACAACACAGGGGCCCAAGTTGTAAGGCGGCCGGTCCGAGGACAGGTGCACCCGCCTGGGAATCAGCACCCGAGTGCACACAACTAGCAGGCTGCCTTTCCTAACAGCCAAAGTCACAGCAGTTTTCATGAAACAACCTCTTTTCAAGGAATACATTGGCCTTCAACACAAGAGCTGACCTGCTTTTCCCAGGGGAAAGGGCCCAAGGGGAGGCGGTGGTGGCCGGGCGCTGCCTCCCAGCAAGGCTGGGGCCAGGCTGCGGCTCTTACGGCTCCTCCCCAGACGGGTGTGCGCCCTCACAGCGCTGTGATGAGGAGGAATGTGTGGAACTATGAAATGGGGAAGGGAAGGTGTTTAAAAGCATCCCAGACATACAGTGAATGTTTTTTAAATGTTTACGATTAGATGTAAAACCCATTGGTGGAATTAAACTGAAATGTAACCCAACATGAGATAAGTTAAATTGGTCTTTTTCAAACATTTTTCATGCAAATCACAGTGAGAACTGAATTTCACATTACTCAGTAAAAGCCCACTTTTCCTGAAGTCTTACTGTCCATCATCTGATAGGCACTCTGACCTTTTCTGTTTCCCTTGTTTTTAAAGCTAGTGATGAACTACTCAGCTCATCTCACAACCACTGAGTCCTAACCCTCGGTCTGAGAAGCTGGGTGAGTTCATCAGAAGGGCCACGTTCCCGCCTGGGCCTCAGAGTGGGTTCGGGGTTCTGTCTCCTGTGGGCTGAGAACCAGCAGGAAAGTGGGTTCCACCGGAGTCCCAGGCCGGAGTGCCCATAGGAACCTATTGCCGAGCAGACACGGACCAAGCGTAAAACAGAACAGAGCCAGCGACTCTCAACACAGAACTGCCACCCCCCGGGGAGGGTGCGTATAACCTGCAGGCTTGGAGGTGCCTGCTTTCTCACGAATCCAAGGTCAGGGTCCGCCTGCACGCCACACTGGTGGTTCTTTCTCACCTCCTGTGGGCAAACAGAGCAAAGGGGGGCGGGCGTGTTCTGACTCGGATTCTCTCTACTTGACCTGGAATCGTGTTTCTCTAGAGTCTCCGACGCATGACCTCTACAGGCAGCCTCTCCACTGGGGACACATCCAGCAGAACAGCCCTGCCCGTCCTCAGTCACTCACAGCAGAGCCTGAACCATGGCCCCTGAATGACACGGGAAAGTCACAGGCGTCCGCACTGCTTCACTTGGAACCACATGTTACACAGGGCAGGAGAGGGGCTGGCAGAGGCAGAGCCCAACTGAGAGTCTAACACGGGAAAAGGAGGGACCAAGGCCCTGGGTGTGCCCTGCCCCGGCGGTGGCTCCCGCAGGGACCACATGCTGCGCTCAGCCCTTCCCACTGGTGTGGTGGGGAGGGCCGACTGGGTTCCCTTTCCTGCAGGAGCAGCAGGACTTGAGTGGAGGGATGCATTACAGCTGTTACACAAACAGCCTCACCTGGCTCAGGGTCTCAACCACTTTGCCAAGGAAAAGCCTCAGCCGGGAAACGCAGAGCTGCCGGCAACACCCGTGAAAAATGACTCAGTGAAATCAGATGCACATGCTCTTTACAGCTCATCCTCAGAGGTAATCTCCCTTTAAACACTTCAGCAAAAGTCACAGAAAGCCCCCAGCGCCCCCAGGCACAGCCTGCACTCAGCACTGCCCAGCTCCAACGCGGCTACAGACCGGGACCTGCCTGCTTCCTCAGAGGAAAAATCGTGCGAATAGTCAATGAAGAGACAGAAGTTCATTTTAAAGAATCTGAATTGAACTGCTGTTACTTATGACACCCTACTTAGGACATTTTATTTTGAAAGTTTGATGATATTAGCTTGATACATTCCTCGAGAAAAAAAATCTAAGATATTATTAATAAATTAATGCCATTAAAATTATGTATTCAAGAATGTCACTTAATACTCCATAGGCTTTTTTCTCTTTGTTCCATTGACCAATTTACAGTAAGTCCTCACTTCACGCCGACAGGTTCAGCGACGTCCCGTGAAAGGGCACACGGGAAACCAACTTACCAGAGGCCAATTGATATAAACAAGGGTGGAGTTCCCATGGCATCTCCTCAAAGTTCTAATGAAACGACATTGAGCAAAATACGGGATGTGAGGACCTCTGTACCTCTGGTCACATTTATCTGGTTGGTTTGGGGCAGTGGTCAGCAAACCGCGGCTCGAGAGCCACATGCGGCTCTTTGGCCCCTTGAGTGTGGCTCTTCCACAAAATACCACGAACCGGGAACGTTGTGGAGTGAAAGAAGATGTAGTGTCGAGGATTGAGAAAGGTATGTTGAGGTGGTTTGGACATATAGAGAGGATGAACGAAAGGAGATAGACGGGATGAGAGTGTTGGAAGGGGTCAACCTCAGCGAACGTACCTCAATCAGATTGAGGACATTTTTAGCAAAGGCCAGCTTAGGAGTACCCTAATTAAGTTAATAACAATGTACCTACCTATATAGTTTAAGTTTAAAAAATTTGGCTCTCAAAAGAAATTTCAATCATTGTACTGTTGATATTTGGCTCTGTTGACTAATGAGTTTGCCGACCACTGGTTTGGGGTAAATCAGAATTCGAATTTCAACACTATAGGGTGTAACAACACTATAGGGTGCAAATGTTTCCACGTGTCAGAATAATCTACAGCGAGCCAGCCATGACTCAGCACAATGCAAGTATTTCAAATGTTGCTGCTATAACTTTAAAGGGCAGACAGGCACAGAGATGAGACGAGACGAGCTCACCTAAGAGCTACCTGTGCTCTGAGTCCGTGATTCTGCCTGACCCACGCTCAGCACATCACCTTTTCCGAAAGCCTTCTACCCTGCTTCCCGGCATTGATGCGCACAGACCGACAGCGCCGAAAGGCAACTTTGGTTCTGGACCCAACCTCTTCCACAGACCAACAGCGTCCCAGGGAGGTTACACACGGGCCCAATTGTGTATTTGACTTCCAAGTAATTGCGGTGGTCTTTCCTTTTCCCCTTTGGTTAGCCCAGAGCAATGTAAAATCGAAGGCACAAAATACACAAATACTTGGTGCTGAATCTCCAAAAGATGCAAATTCCACCTACACCAAAAAAAGTCCACTGGGATGTTCTCTAGACGTAGACATACGCCTCGAGCACGGTCTTAGGATCCACTGAGCATATGCTCCAGGCAGGGGCCAGGCTAGGTAACCCACCCATCTTCTTAGGTCTCCCCATGATGCCTTACATTGATCAAGTGCTTTGCAATATAGAAGTTACACTTTCATTTGAGCCTTATAACAGTTCCCGGGCAGTAGCTGGAGGGACCGTCCTCAAGTTACTTATGAGGAAATGGGGCGGCGGGGAAAACTGGAGACATGCTTGTTTGGCCCGGACGTAGAGGATAAAAGATGCGACCCATATTTGAGGCCAAATCCTTAGCCCTTTCCCCTGTACCCATGCCTCAGATGCTTAAAGGTTTCCTTTACGTATGCAAGTCTGTGCTTCTGAGGTTATCCTTTGGATACAAGGAAATGAAAGGAACTACTCTTGCTTTCCTCAGCAGAGCGTTAGGCGTGCGGCCCCACCTGCCGCCGGAGCTGCGAGGCTGATGCATACCTGAAACTCTTTCTTGCTCCAAGAGCTTAGTGTAAAGATTGAATATCTGTTCCTGGACTTTGCACACAGATCGCTTAATCTTTTCCCTGCGGGTCACCATGTAAGTGAGGTTCCGAACCTAGAATGTAGAGAATAAAGATTCTAAGTAAGCAATGCATTGTAACAGTACTTTGGTGGGTGTTTTGTTGTTGTTTTTTTTACCTGAGAGGAAATTGTCCTACTAGGGCCTTGAGTGACATCTGAAATCAAAATGTACTTTAAATACGTTATCCAATCTCTTATCTCGTTGGGGCTGCTAACAAGGACTCCACACATACCCCTCCACGCAGGATGAGATGGTGGGAGGAGCACCTACAGGATCCCACAAAAGTCCCACCGCCTCCACCACACCAGCCTTAGACTCATCCCAGCAGAGAGAGGGCCGCTGGGGCCCAGCTGGGACCAGCTATGTCTCTCCCAAGGACCCGCCCCAGCACCTGCAGGTGAAAGGCTTTAGCGAGGTCAGAAGCCCCTGCGCTGCACTTCACCCAGCACCTTCTGAAGGGGAAGTGAGGTCAACACAGGGTCAAGGGCAATCAGAAGAGAAACCCACCCCCTGCACAAGGCTCACCAGAAGACCCAGTGGTCTCCAAGAACCCAAGTGAACGTCTCGGTCAGCTGGGCACTGCACCACCTGCAGCTCACGGGCAGCTGATGCTCACACAGAACATGCCGTCCAGCTCTGTCTGAGTCACACTTGAGACATGGATGCTGCCCTCTTCCTGACTCATTTGTACGGAACTGAAAAGACCCAAGTGCTCACAGTTCCACTCTGACGTTCGACCCCCGGGGATCACGTGCACACGCTCGAAACTAACCAACATAGACTCAGTCCTAAGCCACCTGGGATCAGTCAACACAGAAACAAAACTTAAAGGATTCGTCAATAAACCCCTGAAATCCTTCAGTCCTAAAACCTATTGGTAAACCTGACCAGACTCCGTGGGCCTGAACGCACCGATCTCAAAACACAGCAGAGCAGATACACGGTCCGGCCTCCTGCAGGAGGACATGGACAAGATGTCCCCAGTCCTCCGTGGCAGCGGTGAACAGTGGCTCCTGTTCCCCATCAGCTCCGAACTCTCCTAAAAACCCTTTCCTTATCCTTGGCAATCCCTTCCCCCGCTGCCTGCCTTGAAACATGAGGTCAAAGGTCCTTTGCCATTGGCAGTGAGGATGAGGACCAGCCATACACACAGGACTGCACCAGCTTCTGCAGACACCGCCCCTCCGTCTTCAGTCTGTCCTGAGCCCCAAGGATTCCCGTTGGGTTCAAGGTGAGAGGACATGAGACTCTCACCTTGCAGAGTCTCATGCAGGAGCTAACTGGCTCCTGCATTTACATCCATGTGCAATGTATTTAGCATCTTCCTAACACTTCTTCACTGAAAAAGAATATAAATCTAACATTAAAGACCTGAGAAGAAAGTCTCGCTCCCTGTCTCTGAGTGAATATTTTGGTTCTTCATCTCACAGCCTCAGACCCCCAGGCCAGGAAGTAGGTGTCCTTTATTAAAACCCTGACCAACTGGGGACAGAGGTGGCTAACAGGCTATTCTCGTTCATGAGCATTCTTCTACCCAGGGAAGACTAGAGTGGGAGCTCAAAGAGAAAGAGGCAAGACCTAGATAGAGGTCACAGATTCAAAACCTTTGGAAAACAAACAGGAGAATCTGGCCTCCGGAAACGGGAATTAATTCTGGCTCTAGGGATAGGTCATTCTTCTGTTCCAGCTGGATGTACATCTCTCCCTTGAAATTACCCACAGAAACAGAGACCCGGGAGCCAGAGACTGGGACGATGTGTATTATTCAAATTTAATTTCAGGGGCTTCAGCCACTCCCCAGGGAAGGCCTCCATCTGGCTGCTAATTGGGAAATCCCCACGACCTCGGATGAGAAACATCCAACTCTAACCCCAAAAGGCAAAGGCCCGGGTTCACTGTGAGTTGGAACGAATCGGCCCCTGAAGAGCCCAGGCCTGGCTGTTTAGAAGAGTGAGCACCCTAAATGGTACCCCCTGGTGCACACGCACACTCCTCACAGGACAAGGGCACCAGCAGCCCCCGTGTGTAGAGCTGAAAGGAGGCTCTGCCCTGAAAACAGACCCTGCCTGACCCTTCCTACACACTCCCCACAAACCGGCCAGCAAGGAGGTACCCCAAAACACCAGCTCACGGTGCACCCTCACACCACGTGACACCTGAGTCAGGCTTTCATCAAATGTAGCATTTGCGGGCCCTGGCAGGGTAGCTCAGGTGGTTAGAGCATCACCCCGATTTGCCAAGGTTGCAGGTTCAATCCCGTCAGGGCACATATAAGAATCAACCAATGAATGCGTGAAGAAGTGGGACAAATCGATATTTTTCTCTCTCTCTAAAATCAATCTATATATGTATATGTTTCCCTACACAGAATGCTGCCCCCCAGCCCCAGAATTCCTGGAGTCAGAAGTGGGGTCCAAAAATTGGCATTTCAGGTTTCAGGTAATGCTGCTGGCTGGGGACCTCTCCGAGAACCGCTGTCCTCAGGACTCCAAGAGTGCTTTCAGGGTTTTCTTGAATCCCAAGCACTGCTCGCTACACTAAAGCTCAAGGTGCCTTCTGTTCAGGGACAATGGTAGCTCGTTTCACAGGTGGCCGTGCCACTGGGCACCGAGTGGACAAGCCCCAGGACCGGCCCCTCTGGATGCCTCGCCTGATGTAGAGGCAGCGTGTCTATCCCAGCAGGCACTCAGCTGCCTCTCGCAGCAAACCGCATTGAGGGGGAAGAGTCCCACGGGAGGTGAGGCCTGGGGGACTTGCCGTGACCAGCCACCACTCATCAGCAATCACGTCTTCTTAAAGGTGTGGGTTCCCAGCCCCTCCTGGAAGCCATCCCTGTCCTTCCTGGTCCAGAACTGGTACCAGGTGTGCAATGCCTCGGGGTGTGTCTTTGCAGGAAAGAGCAGTTGCCATTATCATTCGTCAGCCGTTTGCATTTCTAATGAAGGCTGCTCATGGGTCAGTTTGGGACTGACCACGGACCCTGATTGTCCCGGGCGGTACCTGATTCTGTGTGCCTGCTATGATGTCCTACTGTGTGAAGTAGGCAGAACAAAGAGAGCATACGTTTATGACTTGTTCTGATGAGCCTTTGGCCTGATACACTTCTTGTTTATAATTACAAAGACCGGTGGGACTCTCCGGGGCACGGCAAAGGTTTAATCTTCTAAAGCCCCACCATCACAGGCCTCATGGCACATTTTGGAAAACGTATTTTTCATTATAATAAGCCCGCTTTAAACTGACACTAAATACCCTAAAATCTGTTAAGCTCTTTATTAAAGTAAATGTAAGTAATGCCACACACACACACAGAAATCCTGATTTATTCCCTGTTTCTCATACATAATTGGTATCATTCTACTTAAAAAGCAACAGTGATGACTCCAAAAAGATGTTTAGAATTTAATTATAAGTCCATGTTAATCTGAGTAACTTAAGCACAGAAAAGAGTTAGTACACCACAAACATTTTCTACACTTTTATTTTGTGGTGACTGTGAGACAAACACAGTCCAAACATCAGACTTCTCGTCCTCCCTCCTGAGGACTACCTGACTCCGGGCTCGTGCGCCCAGGACAGCGGTCGTCACGTACTGGCTCCTCGCCAGCGTCCCAGCTTATCCCTCTGCATCCCTTTCTCCTCTTAACAAAAACACCACACATCCGTGTGGTCGGAGGCGAGGTCTTCTGCACACTCACCACCAGGGGGCGTGTGGGAGCACGAAAGCCTCAGCCCTCCTCCCCCCTGCTGGCCTCGCCTGACCCCAATCCTACCCTGCTCCCGGGAGGGGTGTCACAGCTGGCCCTGGGTCCTGTGCAGACAAGGTCTCCAGTGAACACGTAAAAACACGTGCACGCCGATGCCACCTCTCCCAGAGCCGTACAGGTCCCTCTGAGAGATCTGCATCTTTTGGTTCAACACTTCCATTCGCCCTATGCTCAGACTCTCATTTCCAATCATCTGAGGCAGCCTCTCCCAGGCAGGTGAGTACTTCCCGCTGAGCTCAGGGAGGTGCGTTAACTGTTTCAGGCCAGAAGCCGAGTCCAGCCGGGTCCAGCTGTGTGCTAATGAATTTAATCAGTCGGGAGCTGCCACAGAAGGTGCTCTAAGACGCATCTCCAATTAGCAAGCCTCAGTCAGAAACTACCTACCGGGAGCAGGAGGCCCTGGGGGGACAGCCTCTCCTAATTATACCTGTGCAGGAAGGGAAGTCCACCTGGGACTCCCCAGGTCACGGGTGGAGGCACAAAGCAGCAACAGCTGAAGGAAGCGGCAGTGGCCCCAGGCAGCACACAGCCGCCTCACACAGCAATGCGCAGTGATCCTGTGCGTGCTGAGCAGGACGGGACCCCCACAACCACACATGACACACCACAGACACACGGGACACAGACACACATGCACACGTGATAGAGACACACAGCCTCAGGGATGACATAGCACCTCATTGCCAGGAGGACCTGTGGCAGACGCGCGTGTGTCAGTGCTCGCACACGCACCAGCACCCACAACCTGCCCTGCCCCTCGGCACAGGACGCCCACGAGCCAGCCAGGAATAGGGGGCAGAGGCAGCGCCCCACGCTCCTCAGAGCCACCCTGACCAGCACCCGGTGTGTCCCAGGCTGAACGAGAGATCTTAGCCCCCTGCCCGCCCCACCGTTAGGCAAGTCCGTTCTAACTTGTTTTCTAACCGTTTGCAAACAATTCTGGGCCAATCCCTTGGTCATTTTCCTGGGGCTCAGATCTTTCTAACTCTAGAATGGAGGGAAAACACACCCCATTTGATCTTGCAGAAGAACAATAAGGATTAATGGGGAAATATTTAAAAGTAAGTCACAGAGAAGCCCCTGTGTGAGCTTCCCAGCCCAGGGACACTAAACGGACACACCCTCATGCTGCAGTGTGTGCGGGGTCTGAGCGAGCGACCGGCCGCCACGCTGGCTCTGCGCAAGCGTGGCCTCTGAGCAGTCCTCTTCTCTAAGTCACTACAAGGTGTCAGTGTCAATCATTACCCTCTCCAGGTCCTGCCGCAGGTGCGTGAACAGCTGCAGCCTCCTAAACAAGACATCCTGCTCCCGCTTCGCTAGATTGTCCTCTTCGTCTCTCTTTGGGGTGATGAGGGGCTTGTTGAAGTTGACCTTCCTCTTCAGCTTCCAGTACTGGTACAGGAAGTCCACCACTTCCTCGGGCAGCCGCAGGGCCCTGGCGACGTCCAGCAGGTTGACGAAGGTGTAGAAGGCGTCTTCCAGCTGCTGCAGCTTCTGCTTCCGGACACTCACCCGGTGGGCCTCCTCCTGCTTCTGCTCCAGGCTGGCGAAGGGCTCCAGCGGGCTCCGGGGGGAGCACTCGGGCCCCCCGTTCTCCTGAGCGGCCCCCGCCGCGAGGCTCCCCTCGGCTTTCCTGTGGGAGCTGTGCTTCGGGCAGTAGGACTTGAACTTGACCTCATCGTTCTCCGCCAAGATGGTCTTCATCTCCAGGCCCCGGTCGAAAGCGCAGGTCACGTGGAAGGCCGTTCGGCAGTTCTTCACGGAGCACTGGTGAGGACAAGAAGGAAGACGGTCACGCAGGACAGTGGCTGACGCCCCTCGGTGCCGGGCACCCCAACACACAGCAGAGCTGCGCCCATCGTGGCCATGAGAAACCCCCGGAGTTAGCCCTGGCACACTAACCCAGTGGCATTTTAAATAAAGCTTGAGAGTTCAGGAAACTTCAGATGGAAGGTTTCGTGAACCAACCCTAACTGTCAGATGGGCCCCTGTGGCCCATGGTCTGGGACAGACCACCTGCACGAGGCCGTGTGGCCGGAGCGGGGCTGGCACTGACGCTACACGCAAAGGAACATGTGCTCAACTAGCAGAGTGCACGCGGAAGCACTGATGTGTTTTTTCTTTGGATCTGAGCTCTTTACTGTTTACATAAAAGGCCGGGATGACAGGAACCTCCTCGGGAGGAGTGACAACTAGTCGGAGGTTTTCCGGGAACCTGAATGCTCGCTCTCACCCCGGCCAGCAGAGCCCAGCACCAGCGGGACATTCCCTCCAAGCCTGCCACTCAGGATGAGGCAGGTGAATGCAAACTCCTGAAGAGGAAAAAGAGCAGGAGACAAGGAGAGCCCAGCCCAGGGAGGTCGGGACGAGTCTCCACACCCACGAGGGACCCTGGCCCGATGCTTCCGGGGCAGTGGAAGTGGCACTAGGCCACATGCGCCCTGCCTGGTGGAGCTGGCTGCTCCCAGCGGCCCCTGGCTCTGGCTGTGGTGGCAGAGAACCACGAGGGGCCCGACCCCCCGGGTCAGGAGTCACCTGGAGGCCAGGCGTCGTGGCTGTGCCTCCCTCCCTGAGGAGTCTCCCGCTGGCCCCAGCATCGGGGCTACAATCTGCAGCTTAGAGGGCTGGCGGCCTAGCAGGAGGAGAGCAAATAAGGTCTCCCATCTGACCTCCCTGGGTGAACCCCTGGAAGAGGCTGCTAGTGGTGACGGAAGCCAGTCCCTTAAAAGCAACTGTGCCGTGTGAAGCCAAGTGACCTGGGCTCGCCAGGGCTGAGGGAGTGCCCCGGGCCAGCTGAAAAGCTTAATGACACGCGTTCAGCAGCCGAAATCCATGACCACGGAGGGCAGAGGATGGAGCTGGGGCTTTGCTCCCATCATTGCAGTATATAACAGGTCGTGACTCACTGCCACTCAGGACTTCTCCCGTTATTATACAGTCTCTTACCCACAAGTACGGAAAATCCAGCTCCCTTCACCATTCCCTCCTCACCAACACTTACACCAAAGAAGAGAAATCTGTAATTTTACCTATAAATAACCTCAATTCCCAGGAACGTATGAAATCGGCAGGACACACACACACACACACACACACACACACACACCTGGCCACCACCATCAGAGCATGGAGGAGGGCTCCTCCCGTTAGCGCGAAGCCCAGGGGTGGGAATGGGCTCGGATGCCGGAGACACGGTCTGGGTTTGGCTCGCACTACACTTAACCCAGGCGCTCGGCCGCCAGGAGGAAGGCGCTGCAGCGGAATATTTACACAGGACTTTGTAAAGGCGCCAAACAGCCTTCCTTTGGGTTTTCCGATTCAGGTTGACTCAGCAAACAGATGTTACAGAACCATAAACCACAGCCTCCACAGCTGCAGACATTCCAGGGAGGAATTCTTTAATAACATCAGCCCATTCTGTGCAGATATGAAAAATCACCAGCCTTCCTTGGCCTCTTCTCTTTCAAATGAATGTTCTGGGAAAAGAGGTCAACGGCCACAAAAATCGTCTGATTGTCTTTCTTCAAAAGAGAAACAGAGACCCTGTTCGCCCATCTGCTGTGAGGACCAGGACGGGTGCTGGGGAAGGCAGAGACTCGGCCTCCCGGGGACTCACGGCAGGTAACTGGGAAGGAAAGGATTTCCACCTTCCTGGGTTTGAACGCTTGTTCCTGCAAGTGTTCACACACACACACACACACACACACACGCACACGCACACGCGCACACACACACGCACACCTCTAACGCGTTCTTTTTAAATTCAAGGCTCTTGCCATGTGTTCATTTTAAGCAGATTCTATTCGAATACAAAACTCTGCACTGCTTTCAAGGTCCGCAACCCGAACCCACCAGCTGTCTCGGGCCTCACCCTCTGAACACTTCTGTTCCACTCTGGATTCTCGAACACCAGTATATAATGAGAAACTTTTAAAACCACCAACCAGTCAGTGGGTACCTTAACGAAAGAAATATTTATCGGCCATATACAAATCGGTTTTGCCAAATGAGGTCATTTTCTTAAAACCCATGACTGGCAGCTGGACCGAGCTCCTGGAGTATGCGCCTGCTCAGAGTGTGACGGGGACCGAGAGGGAGGCCGAGGAGGAGCCGTGGCCCTGAGCTGGCACCTGGCCTTCCGGGCCACCGTCAGCGACATGCGGCGTTTGCAGACGTGGGGACAGCACTGCAGGCCTCGAGTCATGACTATCTGGAGATGCCAATAACGTGAGGCCCAGAAGTTAACTTCAAGTAGTTTTAGACAACATGAAAAAGGACAGCATGCCTGTTTATTCTCTCCTTAACTCTATCTACCTGAAGATTTTCTACACTTGTCTGTGGGTGGACAAAGAAGAAGCAGGCAAGGTTTACATAACAGCTACAGTGCGCGCACACGGTGCACGGAGAACCAGACAGCCAGGCTGTGTTCGGCGCAGCACCTCGTGGTGTCCCTCAGCCAGCTGTGCCAGGCTGCTGCCACGTTCCACCTGAGACATGACACCCTGCACACCCGGGAAACCAGCAGTGTCAGGGCAGCCGGAGGGGGGTCACCTGCTCAGCCCGCAAACAGGTAAGAGGGTGGCCCACCTCCAGTGTCCAGGCTGGCTCTTCCCCGGAGGCGTCTGCCAGGCTGGGAGCAGGGAGGGTGCCACCGGACAAACTGACCGTCCTCGCAGCTCATACGGAGCCCGAGTGGCCCTGTGAAGGCCAAGCTGGCATTCTGCTTACACAGAACACAATCTACCCACAACACAGGATCAGACCACGCTGGAGCCAGTCCTAGCCTCCCCATAAGAGCGTGAGGCCCCCATCCTGCTTCCTGAATTCACCTTCAATCTCCAGAGTTCACAGACACCCTCCCCCCCAATCCTGCTCCCTGCGTCATAGGGAAGAAAATGAAGCCGCTGGGACTAGGCCATACCTGTATGGAGGCCCCAAACTTCTCGTTGCAGAGGCTGCACACCAGCGCCCACCGACTGCTGGGGATGTGAGACACCTTCGTGATGGGCTCCATCTTCTCGGGGCTGCCAATGCTCACCTAGGGCCCAAGAAACAGTGAGAGTGCGCCCGAGGCCGTGAGACCGACCCAGGCTGAACACGGGTGGCAGAAACTGGAAGATATGCTACCTCCCGTGCCCTCCCACCAGACAGGGGCAAGGGGCACTCGGCCTCCTAGGAGGGGCACACCCCTAACTTCCACGCATCAGCACAGCTCAGGGGACAGTTCGGGGACAGGAGAGCCCAGAGCCCAGGGTCCATTCCCTCCACCCTGAGCGTCTGGGAGTCATGTGACGCAGACGTGCCGGGTCCCAGAACACTCAGATAACCGAGCCTGCACTTCTCACCTGAGCCTGAGGCGCCACCTGCAGCGGTCAGGGCTGAAGGTGGAGCACGTCTACACAGACTGACTTTAGTGTCTGTCTCGCTAAAGAAAACCATCTTCTTCAAACCAGAAAGGTTACTACACAGTGGAAAACTACCAAGACACACAGCTCTCCTTGGCACAGGGCCTGGGTCACTGAATCGGGTCCCTGTGAATAGCAAACCACGAGGCCCGGCGCTACCGGGACCCGAGGCATGAAGCCGCAACCCCAACCGTCCCCAGATAATTTTCCTCAGGAGGGAAATGCACCAAGAATCACACACCAAAAACGCTGAAATTTGAATCGAAAATGATATTCTCCACAGTGAACCATGCAAATTAAATTAGTCAAGGTCTGGGACTGGAAATAAATTACACCAGACCTGAAATTAAAAAGGTTGAGGCTAGGGGAGAATTCCAATAAAAATCACAGAAATGTGACCCAGAGCAGTGGCTCCTAACCATGGTGGCGTCCCGTGGACCGTCGCCAGGCGCAGTCCTGGGGGAAGGGCTCGGCGCCCAGGCCACAGCCAGGAAGCTACAGGTCTGCTCCTGGGGCCCGTGTCCCAGTGGGAGGTTAGCCGTGATGGACAACTGAATCGAAGCCTGAACACCATCCTACGCACTGCTGCCTGGTTAATATTTCCACAAGTTTGCACCCCCCGGCTAGAGGGAGGTGCGCTGGAGATTCAGGGCGGGGGGGACGGGCAGCACTTAAAAGGTGTCCTTTTCCTCATCAGCTACAACGTGGCCCATTTGTGACCGGCTCCCTCCTCCGCCCCAGCTAAAAGCCGGAACCCCCTGTAAGACCACACGTACCTCGGGGATCCACAGAGCACAGCTGACGTGGACCCACTTGGTCCCGCTGCGGGTGGGCTTCATGGCTCCGCCTTTCTTGGGGCACAGCAAGCACTTGGGCTGCACCCCCAGGGCACACGTCCGGCACAGCCAGCTGCCCTCAGGGACCTTGAGGATTCCATAGCAGGCCTGTACGGCACAGCGCCCCGAGGAAAAGAGAAAAGAGAGAAAGTAAAGGATTCATTTTTCCCGTTATATCTATTACTTTTAAAACACCCAGAAGGGCCCTAACCGGTTTGGCTCAGTGGATAGAGCATCAGCGTGCGGACTCAAGGGTCCCAGGTTCAATTCCGGTCAAGGGCATGTACCTTGGTTGCGGGCACATCCTCAGTGGGGAGTGTGCAGGAGGCAGCTAATTGATGTTTCTCTCTCATCGATGTTTCTAACTCTCTATCCCTCTCCCTTCCTCTCTGTAAAAAAATCAATAAAATAAAAAAAATTAAAATAAAACACCCAGAAGGATTTTAACAGGACAAGCGGCAAAACAGAAGCACTCCTGTGCCCACCTCACAGGGACCCTCGCCCTTGAGGTAAAAGGCAGCGGGAGGTGCGTGACGTCTGTGGGTACAGTATGACTTGCTCACCACCAGGTGATTGTGAACACTCCCCGAGGACAGAAAGGTCTGCAAAGAGTCTGCTCTGCTGTGTGGCTAGGGACACCACGGGCCGCCCAACTTTCAACACTGAGCCTCGGGTCCTCAAGGCAGGGCTCGGGGTTAAGGAGGGGAAGCTGCCCCCCGCTTCCTGGTGGGGGTGGGATTCAAAGGGAGAAAACACAGGGCAACCGAGAGCCTCCCACAGCTAAGAAACGCGATGGCAACCACACACCAGCTAAGGAGCATCCTCGTTCCCAGGCTCCAACGCTGCCAACCGGATCCCAACACTCTCCCGGGTGAACCCCCAGGCCCAGAAAGGGGCGACTTTCTAGACCGAGAGGATTTGATCCTTTTAATTGATACTTAGAGCAAAACCTGTTCTGCACGAGAAGGCCAAACTGCAGAAATCAAGCTTTTACAAGCAAAGTCGCTATGATGGCTCAAAGCACGAAAAGGCAACGTGTTCAGTAAGTGAGGAAACGAAACCATGATGGTAGCAGGTTCAGAGCCTTCTAAACACCAACTGCGAGCCGCTGTCCTCAGATGAACTGCGAGTCAGGAAGTCGGGAGACAGGCACGGGCTCCAGCCCTCCAGACAGGAAAGCAGCCCAGTGCCGTCTGAGAGCGCAGGACGCAGAAAGGAAACCGCAGGGATGAGAGCGGGCGGAGTGAGCAGCCAGGCAGAGCTCAGGGCGCGATGTCAGCGCCGTGAATGAGCCACTGTCAACACAGACGGACGGGAAACAACTTTAAATAGAGCTAAATGACTCTAGTATGGTTTCAACACCCCAAGGTTTCTGTCAGGCATCCTAGAGACAGTCACAATTGAAAAGATCATTTTTTTTTTTTACTAGAAAAGCAAGTCTAAACAAAATTAAAAGATTAAATAAAATATGCCTCTAAGTCAAGCCCTGGAGAACATCTCAAAAGAAAAATGAACCACAAGGAAATGCTAAGGAAAGACACAATGTGGTTATGGCAGGAGGAACAAGACCAGGCAGAGGGGTCGCTGGGGGCCCGGACACCCCAACTTCCAGCTCCAATGGCCACTAACCCACAGGGCCCCTGAGCAGCCCCCTGACATCAGTTACTATTTATGAAACAGGGGGTTTGAGAGCTTCCACGCAGAACCCTTTTTTTCAAACAAACTGTTTCTCAGGGGCAAAATAAGAGAAAAAAAAAACTCTGAAAAGTCATCCAAGTTAACAGCACCAGCAACAAAAAACAACTGTGGTAGTCACGGTGTCACAATCTGTCTCAGTGAAACCCTGCAGGGATTCTCCATCATCCCAAGGACGCGTCCTCGACAACGGGAAACCCAGGCTGCGAGGCGGGCTCCAGTGACTGCAGCGAGAGGCTGTGTGTCGCTCTCTCAGGACGAGCGGGGCGGGACCACGGCAGCGAGGTCTCCAGGCAGAGGGGAGGCCAAGAGGCAGGCACATCGTACAGAAAACGATAATCCAACAAAGTCCCAGAGCAAACCTGACTCTTCTCCCACGAAGGTCGCCGAGCAACCTCCACACACGTCTAAGTGAGTTGATGTCGGCATAAACAGGTGAATTCACAGGAAGGACCTCAGGGCCGTCTTTTAAATCCTAACAGTGACTGTGAACGTGAGTCCCCACAGAAATTCGAGTCGCTTCATTATTGCGTTAAAAATAAACGAGAGGTGAGAAAGACGGAGACTGTCCCAGTGTCACCCTTACTGACGCCTGCGGATTGCTTTTCACAGAGGCGGCGAGCCACCACCAAACCCTACTGGGGTCAATCAGGGAGGACAGGAAATCCATTTCCAGAAAAGGGAACTCCTTCCTCTTCTGAACAGCTCAGTGTACACACTAACACATTTGCAAGAGTCATGGGTTAAACTGTATCCCAAAAGGAGATGTCACAGTCCTGACCCAGTACCTCGGAATGCAGCCTTATGTGGAAACAGGGTCCCTGCAGATGTGGTCAGTTAGGATGAGGTCACCCTGGGGGAGGGTGGGCCTCGAATTCCATGGGACAGGGAACCCTATAAGAAGATGTCAGGTGTGAAGACACCCACAGGAGGGCACCATATGGCGAAGGCAGACACAGCTGTGCAACTGCACGTCCAGGAGCACCGACGACGGCCAGCAAACCACACGACACTGGGAGAGGGGGAGAGGCGGGAAGGATCCTCGCGTGATGGGCCCCGCCCGCACCCTGCTTTCATACTTCTAGTCTCCAGAACAGCAAGACAGGCTTCTGTTTTTAAGCCACGCAGTTTGTGGCACTTCGTCATGGCAGTCGGAGGAAACCAATCCAGCTAACTAACCACCTTTTCAAGGTTTCTCAGTGTTCTTAATACCTGAACTCAGGTGCTGGCGCCGGGCAGAGGGGTGCATATACTCTTTTTAAGTAAACCTGACTTCCATGGGCAGGACTAAGAACATGTAAAGGAGAGTCTCACCAAGGAGTCTATGCTTCTGGTTGTAAAAGTATCGAGAAATACTTCAAACACTGAGAACCGCTGAGGGACAGTGAGATGTCGGGACCCATTTCTTAACTCCCTCGGGGCAGCAGGAGAACAGCCCCGTCTGGAGGGAGACCCGGCCTCTCTGGGTGCCCTGGTGGCAGACGGGCTCAGGCCCGTGCTTCCGTCTGGGCCTCGCTGCCCACATACCTGGTGCACGCAGATGTTGCATTTGTCACAGAACACCATCTCGTTGCCGTCCTCACCGTCGGGCGACTGGCAGACGTCACACACGACGTCCTCGTCGTACTCGATGCCCAGGCCCTCTTCCGTCTCGATGGCGTGGTTCATGTTGTCGGAGCAGCGCTGCTCAAACTCCTCCAGGACCCTCTCCATGGTGCCCTCGTCCAGCTCCGGCATGCCTGGGGGCGCAGAGCTCGCCTCAGTAACCCCCGGCCACAGGCATCGCCAGGCATCCGTGTGTTTACATGTGTGAGTGATATTATAAGTAAATCCATCCTGAGCGTCCCACACATTTTCCGCTGCATGCCCTCAGACCCTTCCACGGGAGACGCCGTGTTTTAAGTACAAAACACAAGATAAACCCCAAAAGGGACCGAGGATGTGAACTGCACTGTCGTTCAATTGCCCTTGCATTACAGTGTTATACATAAACGTCATGGGGGTGACCTGACCCCGGGCTGTGGCTTGGGTGTTTGTTTGAGAGCTTTCCTCACTTACTACTTGTGACGGTGCCCTGACAAGATTCCCCCGTGAGCACTGGATGCTTTTACCCGGTTCATCCCTCTTCACCCTCCGAACTGACTACATTGAGAGGCACAGTTAATCAGACACATGAGAGGCCAAAACACAAGGACTGTCGGAAGCCTAGGAGACAGCTCATTGTGAATCAAATAAGCTGCATTCTGAGGCAAGAAGGATCAAAAATCCATCTCCAGTGGTTCTCGTGGTTATAGCCAGCGGTGGGATGAGACTTCTATTTTCTTCCACGTGTGGATATAGTCCAAACTCCCTACAATGAAGATACTCATGCAGACAGAAAAAAAGAGGCTGCAAATACTCTCCAGACAGAACACCGAAGTGGCAAGAAACAACAGAAATGTCATTAGAGCCAACATCGACTTCTGTGCGCTATCAAAAGTTTAAAACCACCAAATTAACACTCCTTGGGTTTTTAAAAAAATCTGAGAACCGCCACAATAGAGCTGACAGTGTGATAAGCCCTAAACACTTATTCAAAAAAGCAGCACCAGCCATCGCAAACCCTGGTTAACTCTGAGACAGCCTCTGCGTGGCCAGGTGTTCCTAGTCTGTAGTTTTAAAAACACCACTGGTCTTGAAAACAAATCCTATGCCCTGTAATTAATTCTTACCATTAAAAAGACCAATAACAGCACGTGTCCAGTTTATGTTACACAGCTGCCTACGTACTGGGCACTTCCTTCCGACTGAGGAGTCAGCCCAGGACTCATCACTAAACCACCTCAAAGGCACCAGTGGCTCTGGCTGTACCCTGTGCCTAACACAGGCCACTGGTCAGTCAAGCGCACCTGGTCTCTACAAAACTGCTATAAAGCAGGCCGTAGGTGGATGAAGCTGAGGCAGCATTCACCTCCAAGAGAGCTCTGAGAAGACTGTGAAGTCTAGTCTGCAAAATGCACTGAGCTCAGACTAGACTTCACAGTCTTGCTCATCAGGTCGCCTCGAGAGACCCTCAGCAATCAGAAGTACGGAGGGAAACCCGCATGCCACCCGGTCTCCACCTGGAGATGCAGTGAGTGTGGCACAGAAACGCCGCCCTCCTCACGCAGAAAACGAGCAAACTCAGGGAAAAGAGACGGCTGAGCAGGGCTGGGCACCAGGGAGGGGCGGGGCTCCTGGAAGGGCGGGGCTCCGGAGAGGACAGATCGCTGGGGAAAGAGGAGGCAGGAACTCCAGCTAAGGAGCAGGACCTGGTGAGGAGGCATTGCTGTGGGGTCGGGAAGGGAGCCGGGCTGGAGTGGACTCAGAGGCGGGGGCAGCGATCTGAACTGCACCACTGGGAAAGGAGTGCCGGCCCTCTGTGGTCCAGGGACAGTCACTTAGTGTCTCTGGCTTCCGTGCTCGTGAGGTACATACGATCAGGGCAGGGTGGGAACCCTGCCTCCACGGCCAGTGGGAAGGCCCCTCACTAGCCCGGTCCCTGAGTCCATCTCAACGGACAGCGCTCGTTACAAACAATAGCACGGGCCTCACCCATCTCCTTGAACTCCTCGTTGGTCAGCTCCAGCCATGCCGCGTCCATGTCATTGAGGTCGTACCGACACACGCCATCGGCCAGCGCACGGATGTCCACGTAGCCCAGCTCCGGGGGCTCGGAGCCTGAAGAGACGATGTATTTCTTGGGCCTGATGAACATGAGTGACTTCTCTTCCGACACGACCCTAGTTAACAGCAAACACGAGGCAGCCGGGTCATCCTTTCTGCCACAGACCAGCCAGGCTGTGCAAAGGCCCCAGGGGAGTCTCCACCGCCACCCAAAACCCAGGTCATCGCCAGACTGACATGCTTAAAGTCCTGCCGTCACTGCTAATAACACTAAGGAGTCCTTAACACACCCAAATGGAAAGAGATCCAAGTGCAAACCCTGCAGAAGTCTTCAAAACCAGCTCCTTCCATTCGGCTTCCCCAACACCCGTTCCGCCCCCCGCCCCCCCACAGCGGCAGGTGCTGTGGCCGCTTAGGTGCCCAGCGTTGCCCATTCGAGCCCTTTCCTCCAACCAGAACCACCCAGGCTGCTGGACGCCAAGCACTGGGTTCTCGAGAACATCGAGGAGCAAGAGCAGCCACAGCTGATGCTGGGGAACCACGGGGAGAAACGCCCTCTGTCTGACCTTAAAAATAAACCAGACCTCAGCCATTACTCAGCGGTCCAGGAACCAGAGTGAGCCCAGCCGGGGCCTCTCCCAACATCCCAGGGCAAGGACCCGCGCTCCCTCTCCTTCTTCCCCTACCCTCTGCCCCCACCTAACACCTGAAGCAGCCTCATCCACCATGCCCCCCTCGAAGGCTGCGATGGCACGTGACACTATGAGACCACCCCGACGGGGAGTCCACACAGCCCTCCACATCTCTGTTTAGCAGTTTGCGTGAACATCAAGTTGTCCAAAACTTTGAAGGTGTCAAAGTTTTGTCATCACCTTTATCATTACAAAAGTGATTTTATCTACAGGACACTGAGATGGGCTAACTGGACAGTTATTTCTCCTCCTCAACCAAGAGCAGGCTTTTGTTCAGCTGAAAATGTCCATAGGCTGTGTTATGGGCTCCCAAATGTAATGAGCAAATTGGTGAAAAACTCCCAGCTTGGGATTGCCGGGCTGGTGTCGTGCCCCAGGTGTGCACTCTAAGGCAAACACATTGCTCATCCCCAGAGCCCAGTGACGGGCCCGCCCACAGGCCAGGAGTCCAGCCTATGGAGGCCGCCCCACCCATCATCTCATCTAATCCCTTTCCTCCAACCAGAACCACCCAGCATCTAAACCTGCAGATCTAGGGGGACATTTGTCGCAGAGATCCCGAAGAGCAATAATCAAACTCGATCATCTCCAGTGCCTAGAGAGACACAGAGTGGGCGAGGGTTAGGGTTAGGGTTAGGGTTAGGGTTAGGCGAGCTCCGTCCACACTCGGGGATGGTGAGGATGCAACAGCAGAGAAGCCCGGCGCCAGCTGAGCACAGGGCACTCCCTCCTCTCTCCCCGCCAGCAGCCCAGGGTCGGGGGGAGCTGGATGGGAGGACAAGAGCAAACCGGCTGCAGCTTCTAGCTAAGCTGAGTCACTGAGGACCCGACCCTCAGGGGGGAAAGTGGTCTGTAAGTCAATCGAGACAGAGCCCCACAAGAAGAACTGGGCAAAGTCAATCCATAGGAGAGCTCACCTAATCCATTCATCTCCTCAAACTCCCCTCCACATACCTAGCCTGGCTACCCCACCTGTCCTCCTCCAAAGGGGGAGTGGCCACCATGGGACCAGGAAGCCACCTTTCCCCGGGGCCCAGCAGAGCTGCTTTGCAGCGTGAATGTGACCAAGGGTGGGGATGCAAGTGCAGGCAGAGGGACAGCGGCGGGGGGGGGGGGTGCAAACATCCAAACCCCCAGCCAGTCCTCCAAGTCACTGTCCTGTGGACCTGACGTGTTCCTACGGCCACGGGGACCCCAGTGCTGAGGACACACTGCCCTTCTCGGCACCTGGCTGAGGGGCAGACAGGCCCCACGGGGGAGGCAGAGCTGTTCTCCTCGGGGCACGTCTACCTGGCCACAGGCTGAGGGATGGTCCCAGGGCTGACTGGCACCTGCACCCCCTTCTCCCACTCCTGTCTCCAGGGATCTGCCAACACGTAGTACTCATCGGGGTTCAGCTGGTAGGAGTCATGTAGCTTCATGGCGGTGATCAGGTCTGTCCTAAACACCTGGAGAGGGAGAGACAGGGTCACGGACATTTGATATTTGCTTTCTTATTCAGAGCACTGGCAGCTGCAGGGTAACCATGGAGCTGCCAGTGTAACAAGGTCACTGGATCAACAGAGAACCAGTCTGGCCTGTGACAGGAAGCCCTGAGCCTGCCACACCCTGGCTTCAGGCTCGGTGGCTCCACGTCCACACAGCAGCTGCAATAGCATCAGCAAAGCAGCTTCCCCGAACTCTCAGTTCACGGAGCGCTGCTGAAACCGTGGGCGGGACCCCTGCAGGGAGGCGTGCTCTTGATGGTATTTAAGAAACAAAGCTCCACTGGCCGTGTAGCAACTTCAAACCCAAACCCGGAACCCGGAACCACCAGGGCCTCCCCTTCTGCACTCCACCTCGCCAGCCCCACCTCAGGCCCCAGGGTATATAGCGAGGTGTCTGGGAGGTCAGGTCCCAGCTGGCTCTTGCCAGGCAAAGAGTAGGCTGGGACAGAAGCAGTGACAGGCCTGGGAGTCTGGTCCGAGAACGGGCCTTACAGCACGTGCCCACTTGCACACCTTTCCCGGCACAACTGCTACAAGGGAGGCGCTGTTTGTGCAGAATGGGGAGGAGGCAGGAGAGGGAGAGAGGGAAAGAAGACAAGCAAGGTACTGCCCTCTCCTCTCCCTGCCAGAAACAGACTCACAAGTCTCAAAAGGACTCTCAGCCAAGACAGCTCCTCCAGCTTGTGTCAGGGCCCTGAGGGGACACACAAAGGCGTCCTGCAGGCCTGCTGCCCTGGCGGGGCCGGAGCCGGCACCGTCTCCTCGTCCACGCCTGTCTCTGGGCGACAGCGCTGACCCTGGCACCAGAGCCGCACTTGGCAGGGAGCGAGCCTGCATCTGAAGGCCACGCTCTCTGTTTACACAAGTCACAATGCTGAGCTCGCTCCCCCTGAGAAGGACAGGGGGTTCTTTCTTGTGCTGCGGAGCACAGCTCACATTCTCTCCCGGCTAATAGGGCCATGTTTGTTTTTCCTGGTGGCTTTTCAAGCTGGTGATGACTTTAATACACTTCTCCAGAGCAGTGTCTGAGCTTTCCCCAGCACGCCCCTCCCCGCTCCCAGCGCCCAGGAACAGAGAGAACCTCGCAGTCCCCACAAAAGCACAGGAAGATCGGCACTGATCCGAAAGCAGGTACCCGGCCAGGCCAGGGCCTCCCCGCCCCAAAGAAAAAGTCCTTTAAAACAAAAGTCTAGGTCCACAGCTTCAGGAAGAAAATCAGACTAAAAACACATTCCAACTGTCTTGCAAGTGAAAAAAATCAGGCGTTTTCCAAAGAAGGAGACTCAAACTGCAGTAACGAGAAATGACAGCCACCACTCCAGGGATGCTCAAGAACCAAAACAGGTGCCCCCAAATGGACACCCGGGTCCCTGGCAGAATTCAATGCTAGTGCTTTAGTATAAAGGTGTTTGAAGTCAGAGGAATCTTAGAAAAAATCTGGAAAGAAAACATGGGTCAGGGATAAGGAGGAGTCCAGGTGTCCCGGGGCGGGGGGAGGGGGGAGGGGGGAGGTAGGGGGGGAAGGGGAAGGTAGTGAGGAGGCAGGGATGGAGGCACTGATGTCCCCCTGGCCCCGAATTCCTGCCCTGAATCACAGGAGCACATAAGAAAGACAGCAGGGTGTGAACGCAGCACGGGGAGTTAAAGAAAAAAGGAGCAGCAGACCTGGCCGCTCCAGGGCCACCAAAAGGGAAGCGGGCAGTGCGGGCTCCGGGGACAGAGCCTGGAATGGTCCGGGGCGGTAAAACCACCACCTTCCCCAACGCTTACGTGTCTAAAGGATGCGTGCTCCTTACTTCCTCTTAGAGAAGGAGTCTCTGCTACACTCCAACACAGCACCCCGCACGCCCCATTCAGCAGAGAAACAGGCGTGCTGCAGGTGAGGCTGCAGGTGAGGCCGTGGGCGAGGCCGTCTGTGAGGTCACCCCGCCAAGAGGCAGCACCACACCAAGGGGCAGAACCAAAGACTGCCTTTCCTACAACCTGCTCACTTGAACTACAGTGCCTTTTCTCCCGCGATGTCAGTGCTCGGAGCCCAGCAGAGGTGTTCAGAGGAAACACCTCAGGGTTGGTAGGAGCCCCCAGTCAACAAAAGCCAGCAGAGAGACGCACCAAAAAACAATCTTAAATAGAATGACAGATGACAGCTAGAGAGAGAACAAAATGGGGAGCAGGGGAGACATTAAGATGAGAAACAAAATGGAAAAGGGAAAAGCCTTAAGCGTAATCCCCAAAACAGAATTCCCAGAATTATATTGTTGTTGCCAAGTAAGCCACAAATTTATGGCTAAAACTAACTTGAGGCTGGCAGTGACTGGCAGCAGCCGAACTCGCGCATGTCCTGGCCAGAGGAAAAGTTGTTGGGAGCCAGCAAACAGGGAACAGAAAAGGAAAAGAAGAATATAATTAATAAAAACAATAGCTAACAGTTACTGAGCACTTTTTTATGTGCTTTGTATGTGTTGACCTCTGTGTATTAACCCCTTAATCCTCATAATAGGCCCGAGGTAACCACCTACGCTATCTCCATCTTACAGGGTTGGAAACTGAGGCACAGAAAGGTTACGTAACTTGCCCGAGTTTCACAGACAGACATCAGTATCAGCCTCGGGCCTGTATGTCGTCACGTGTTCTCATGCGCACGTGTCTGACATACGTCACGCCAGCATTGGGGAAATACCTCGGAAGGCTTCCGATCTTCATGTCTGGAGCAGGAACCTCTCCTGTGCTGGGACCGGGAATTCTGAGACCAAGTGGTGGACAGGCCTAAAGACACAAATAGCCACAGAGGAACAATTAAAAGTGCAGAAATCACGGAGTGCTCAGTTTTCTTTAACCAAACTCAGCAAGGCTCACTTCCACACCCCGCATGAGACAGCCATGACGCTGGGCCACAGCACTGGATGCTCAGAGCCCCTCCTAACGCTCACCCGGGCGGGCCTCACGGGACCCCCAGCACAGCACACAGGAGGACACAGGCTCTGGGCCAGAAGCCTGCACGTCTGAGGTTAAGAGGGTCAAAGTCTCCCGATGCTAAATACAAACTGGAAAACATCTCACTGAGTTTTTAGGAAACTCTCTTAACTCGAAGATTAAGATCTTTATGCTAAATCCTAAGGCCAACCTCAAAACTCCTGGTGCCCCTCTCTGTGCTTCTCCGCTCGCCCAGGCCCAGGCCCTGCCCGGCTCGAGCAGGAGATGGTCAGACCTGCACCTCACACTCTCCTCCAGCCCCGGCTCCAGGTGCATGTTCACCTCAAATGAAGACATCGCCCCAGAGCTGTCAGCTCAGCGCTAAAAACTGGGCCCAACCTTTGACCCAAACCTGTCCTCCCCCGTCTATTCTTAACCTGGTATCACGTTTCTACTTGAAGTCAGAAATCTAAGTCACCCTAGACCAGTGGTTCTCAACCTTCTGGCCCTTTAAATGCAGTTCCTCATGTTGTGACCCAACCATAAAATTATTTTCGTTGCTACTTCAGAACTGTAATGTTGCTACTATTATGAATCGTAATGTAAATATCTGATATGCAGGATGGTCTTAGGCGACCCCTGTGAAAGGGTCGTTCGACCGCCAAAGGGGTCGCGACCCACAGGTTGAGAACCACTGCCCTAGGCCCTCCTCACTCAGGACAGGTCCAATCAATGGCAAAGTTGCATTAACTCACTGCCCATCGCCCCAGACTCCCGGGCGGCCCCCACTCGCACCACTGCCCATCACGTGTTGTGTAGACACTGGCTGCGGCCTCCTGTTTGTGGGTGCCCCACCTGCAATGTCTCACCTCCACCCTGAACACATATCTACCATTTCCCAGAAATTAACAACCACCTCCCCACCCCCCCCCACCCCACCCCCCGGCTTCAAAGCCAAAACCGGAGCGAACTGCCATCCTACTGTCACTCAAACTGGAAGCTCTTATCTCTACAGATTCCAGAGATAAGGGACAGAACCAAGTACGCAGGAGACCTTGGGGACACTAAGGGACAGAATCTGCACGTAAGCCTATCATCAGATTTGCGATGACGGAGACTGAAAGGGATCTATCGCCAAGCTTCCCTCTGGCACAACCCACACTCACCAGTTCTGAGGCCTGTAAATGGGCGACTGTTAAAACAGCAGAATCAGACCTCCTCCTACAGGTGGCCCCTGTAGCCGCACTCAGTAGAGCGTCTAGAAAACGCTTTTTTAAGAAATAGGGAATGTGAACTAGACTGTTTCACACCCACATGGAAAGAAATATTCTGGGTCACTGGGGTGAACCCAACTTACAGAGGTTCCAAATCCTGTCATCACTGGAAAAAGCAAAGACAGAAGCCAAGGCAGGAACCTGGAGAGGAAGGTGTGGGGGGCTCGTGCCTTTAGGAGGCCTCTCTCACCCTGGGGTCCTGCAGGCCCCTCGGCGGCTCAGGGCCTGGGGATCTCAGGAGGGAAAGGGAGGGTTATTAGGGCAGGAAGGCATGACCCTTCCCTCTGGGTGACTATGGAAGGGATATAATGAAAGGAACAATCCCAGAAATTTAACAAGGACCATCCATCCCACTGCTATACTGTAAATCTCACATGGGGCGGAGGGAGGCGAGTCCTTTCAGAGCTAAGCAGAAACCACACTCCTGTCATTGGTGGGTTGGGGACTTTGTTGCCATTGGTGGGTTGGGGACTTTGTTGCCTTTTCTTGGGCATCTGTCAGCATCCCTCCAGCGTCGTTTCCAAGGCCCCCCGGAGCCTGCAGCTTTGCTGGCATGGAACAACCAAAGCAGTGACGGTCACACAGAAACTGCTGCTTCTCTATCCTTGAGAAGTGGGTGTCTGCACCACACTTACTTTTTACAACAGAGAACCGAAGGCGCTGCAGACCTGGCACCTGATAGTAATACCACCCGAGAGAAACACCGGTCCACCCAGCAGCGGTCCATTCCTCTTCCTTTTAATGGGCACGATGCATAGGACGGGAGAGAAGTACAAGTTAATCCTATTAAACCCACTTTATACAAAGTGAGGCGGGGGGGGGGCAGGGGGGGGCGTTTCCATTATCACTGATGTGAGAAATGTTCTTACCCTAATTATAAAGGCCAAAACCCAGAAACTACCCACACATGCGCCAACAGACGGCATGGATTCACAAAGGTGGTATATCCATACAGCGGAACACTACCCTGCACCAAGAAAGGCGCTTCTGAGGCAGGCCGTGTGGAAGATGCTGGAATAACTACTTCGAGTGAAGGAAACCAGACAGTCTGTAGCGTATTACTCCACTTACAGAAAACTCTGAAAAACATACACGAATCTCCAGCGACAGAAAGTAGATCCTCTGATGAGGGGAAAGGTGGGAGGGAAGGATTTCCTTGAGTTTTATGGCTGTAAACATGCCAGAACTTATCAGAGTATCCACTTTTAAGGTGGGCAGGAGATACCTGATGGTTTTCTATCATCCACTAACAACAAAGAAAAAGAAAATGCTCCGTTTTACTTGGCACAGGTGGCTCGCGTAAAGCCGAGACTTTGCAGCCCATCCAGATGGGAATGTGGGACGGGACCGGCGGACCCTCCCACGTCAGCGGCGGGTCCAGCTGCAGGTCTCTGTTGCAGGTGGTCTCATCCTCCTGATCTCCTTGACACAGCTTATCAGAGTATCCACTTTTAAGGTGGGCAGGAGATACCTGATGGTTTTCTATCATCCACTAACAACAAAGAAAAAGAAAATGCTCCGTTTTACTTGGCACAGGTGGCTCGCGTAAAGCCGAGACTTTGCAGCCCATCCAGATGGGAACCCAGTCAGGGTCGTGCAGGAGGCAGCCAATCAATGATTCTCTCTCATCATTGATGTTTCTATCTCTCTCTCCTTCTTCCTTTCTCTCTGAAATCAATAAAAAAGAAATATATTTAAAAAAAAAAAAAGAATGTGGTGTCATTGTTCAGGACTGTCATACTCGGCGAGAACCATCCCTGTCACTTCAGAACTGGAGGCAGCAGGCACAGAGAACACGCTCCAGTTTTGTCTATTGGAAGTGAGGTTTGAGCTCCAGGAAAATAAAGCAATGGTACATGTAAAGGCAGCCTGGTGGGGCCACGGCCTCCGGATCAGAATGCAGCGACATCCACAGGTTCCCAGGAAGTCCACAGCGGAGACTCGAGCAAGTGTCCTGACGTCCCTGCCCAGTCCTCCCCCCTCAGCCAGGCTCTCTCTGGACGGTTCTCAGATGGTCAAGTAACTCCCAGAATATGGTCCAAACAAAAATAATTTGCATCCCTTTGTAATTGAAAAAAAGCTAGGTGACGCTGGATGGGAAAGAATTATGAAACCAGAAATGAGAGCATTTCAAACCCTGAAAGAACGGGGAGACAGACTTATCTCGGCAAACACCTGCCACTGGCCAGTTCTCAGAGGCCGCGCTGGGTGGGGCTGCGTTCTGCGTTGTTCTGAGTGCTAACGTTTAATGGCAGACTAAATTAAGAATGTGACAAGTAACATTTTGTTTTGTTTTTGTTTTGTTGTTTTGTTTTTTAAATACATTTTATTGATATATTTACAGAGAGGAAGGGAGAGAGATAGAGTCAGAAACATCAATGAGAGAGAAACATCGATCAGCTGCCTCCTGCACACTCCCCACTGGGGATGTGCACGCAACCAAGGTACATGCCCTTGACCGGAATCGAACCTGGGACCTTTCAGTCCGCAGGCCGACGCTCTATCCACTGAGCCAAACCAGTTAGGCAACATTTTGTTTTGTTTTCTTTCTGTTTTCAGGAGAGGAGCTGGGAACTCTAATCTGGTAATGATGTCTGTGACTATTTTATTGACCACACACAAGAGAGTGTCTGAAGTTAAGTCCACTCCGTGACAAATGTAAGCAACTTCAGAAATTCTTATGCTGTGAGAGTAACAATATTGCATATTAAATACTGTAAAGAATGAATGAAAAAATGTCTTGTTTTGTTTTAACATCCCCATCTTCCATTAAAAAGTTACAAAGGCTCGCAGGTGGCAATACCATGGGCACGGGTCCTGTGCGCACCAGCTTTCTGATAGTGCAAACGTGCTCCTTTGAAATATTAAAAATAGCCACACTGAGTTGCCCCAGATCTAAAATAAGGAAAAGCCTCAAGAGTAAATCTAGTACGTGTTGCACATGACTTTCACGCGTAGTAGCTCATGTGTGTTAAGCCTTCCAGGTTGTGCAGTGCATGCAAGGTTCAGAAATTAGAATGAATGGTGGCCTGGGTGTTCACACCACAAAATGCAAATGACAGAAGAACCTCGCCACGGACCCAGTGGTGCGTCTCCTGTGTCTCAGACCCTGCGTCTGGCACTAGAAAACAACATGCTGGTGTCTCCCGTCCTGTTAAACCGGCTTAACCAGGTAAGATGCTTAGGACCGGCCAGCATGACGTCCAGTGGCCGGCCAACATCAACTGCCAGCGGAGACCTGGGAGGGCCCGTGCGTTCCTCCCAGGGACGGCTAGCCTCGCCCTGTGCAAGTCAAGCAGAGCCATGGAAATTCCTATCGGAAAGTTAGCTGAGTTCATATAGTCACTGGCTATTCACTGTAACAGGATGATAGGAAGCAAGTCTCAGATACAGCCGCCGTTTCTACCAGGGGCTGACCCTATGCTTACCCCAGCTCTTCCTCCCCAGCAGAGCTCAGGTCCATGGTCCAAATCACTGCCAACTTCCAAAATACAGAAGCGTAACACACACATTCAAAGAACTGGCCCAGGCACGTTCCGACATACTTAGTGCACTGGGTTCTTCAACCAACTGGCACATGCGTTTGTTTCCCAGCCCCCAGCCCTCCTGCTGAGGTCCAAGTCCCAGGGCCACAGAGGTTAGTCCATGCCCAGGATCCTTTGTGCCAGTGGCTCCTTGAGCCCAAGCTGTTAACCTTTCCATCAATGTCAAAGCCAAACCACCAGTTGGGTCTGAAAAGGGGCAAAGCCACCTGTGGGCCTTGAGGAGACACAGGTACAGTGTACATCCTGCAGAACTCAAGCCAAAGTTCCCATTTCAGTGATTCCTACGCAACTCCTGGGTGTGTCACCCGATGCAACTCCTGTGGAAAAGGAGCAAATTAAAGGTACAGTCAAACAGGAGCAGAACGGAGACAGAGCAGAGAAACCACCGAAGACGTGTGTGGAGGTAACCAAGCACAGCCAGCCAAACAGAAAAGGAAGACAAGTTACCAAAAACTGGATGGGAATCCATCCAAGGCAGTGATACGGAGAGTATGCTTCATCCGCTAAAAATGATGGTGCCTTCACTGCTGCCGGTAAGCTGGAGAGCCCAGAAAAACAGCCCCCACATAACTTCACGCTTGCCAGCCGTCGGCCTGCATTACCAGCTGCAACAGTAGTTGGTGTGGATCTGACTCAGCAGCCGAGCTCAGCTGCAGAACTGCACTCGACAGGAGTGTGTCCCAGGGCGGCACCTGGTTCCAGACCCCCAGCCACACCCGGCTTTCCACAGGGAGGTGGACCCAGCCCTGAAACGGAGGACATCAGACCGAAAAAAGAAGCCTTGCTTCACAATTTTAGGAAAAACTTTGACCTATCAGCGCACCGCTGCTCTCTTTGTGGAAAATAAAAGAACCAATTTAACTTCCCTCTGGATCTTTGAGAGAGAGGCACATTTTAAAACAACCAAAACACCAAAAACACCACTTACACTTGGCTCCCTTCTCCTGGCCAAAGCCCCCACGTGTTTAAAAAACTGGCCAAATGAACAGTCTTCTTTCTGTTCTATTTAATTCTTGTCTTACTTTTACATGAAAAAAAATATAAGGATGCTGATCAGAGCTGTTAACCGGCCTGAGATAACCAGCAACACATGATTCCTGCCCAAGCAAGAACACGATGTCGCAATGAGCCTCTGCAGCTTTATTACCGGTGAAATGAGACCTCCTTTAGGTGCTGGAAATGCTGGAAATAGCTGGTGGGCCCCATCCGCACATTTGCAGAAACCCCTAAGGGCTGAGGATCCTCAGCAGGGAAGCAGGAAATGAAGGGCCTGTTTCCCTGCCACCCCTTGGCACCGTGTGCAACTTCAGAGGCTGGCAGGGCCACCCCGTCCCAGGAGCCCCGCAATTACAGGCGCAGCCTGAAAACACCGCAACGCCGCTCCATCCAAGAGGAGGGCTGGCCCCCCGGGGCACCTGGAGAGGCTCCGGCAGCTGGAGGAAGGCCCGCACTGGCACAGAAAATGCCCGTCCACTCCCCACGGTAAATACCACACTGCTGCTCCCTGACCCGGCTCCAGCCCCAGGCCGGCGGCGAGGCGTGGCTGTGGCTGGTGCTGCGGCCCCACGCTGACGTCAGCAGCTCCCTCTCCTCCACTTGGACACGCTCTGCACTGGGCTGGAGCTGCTGCCAGAATCGCGTCAGGGCTGCAGGCTGGAGAGCGGCCACTGCAGACCCAGCCCTTCTTGCAAGCAGGGCTTTCCAAGTGCCCGGATCTGCTGAGGGCCGGCTCGGGCCTGGGGACCTGACTGCAGCGGCAGACGGCACCTCACTTCACAAAAGGACGGGCGGCTCCAGTGCCTACGGGCCTCGAAGGAGCTGCCCTCGGGGAAGGTGGAGAGGGGTGGTTCCGTGGTGACGTGCACGTTTTCTAAGGCTGGGCGTGCCAGGGTGCTCACCACTACCACCAGGCACCGTAACTGCCCAACACTAGGCCTGGATGGACAGCACGGCTATGAGGCATCGATGCCTGCTCTACACCAAACCAGCTGTCTGACAAAGATGACCTGTCCACGTCTCGTCCTGCCCAGCCCTACTCTTGGATGGAGCGGCGTTGCCATGTTTACAGCTTGGTTGTCTCTCTAATTAACCCCCAGGACCCTCTAAACACCGACCTGAACCCTCTGGATATGAGCGCATTAGGAGGAGGAAGAACATAGCCTGTCACCAGAAGGGTGACTTTCGATGGACACACTTTTAGTGGGGACTGTGGCTGCTCTCCTCCTTCATTTTTAACCAGAGCTTGGGAAGGGTGGGAAGGGGTGCATGTTTAGGTGGAGCATGTGGTCCTCTATGGCTGTTATGGGCTGAATTGTGTCCCCCAGCATTCCTAGGTGGTGTTATGGGCTGAATTGTGTCCCCCAGCATTCCTAGGTGGAAGCCAGGCCCCCAGTGCCTCAGAATGGGGTGTATCTGGAGACGGGGCCTTTAAAGGGAGGATTAAGTTAAATGAGGTCTACGGGTGGACCCTGGTCCAAGCTCACTGGTGTCCTCGTAAGAAGAGAACACTGGGCACACGGACGCAGGGGAGCCGCGCACAGAAGGCCATGTGAGGACACGCGAGACGGCAGCCACCTGCACGCCAAGGAGAGAGGCCTCAGAGCGACAGTCAACCTGTCAACACCTCGATCTTGAATTTCTAGCCTCCGAACCGTGAGAAAATAATTCTGTTGTTTAAGCCCCGGCCTGAGCTGAGGCTCCTGCAGAGCGGACGGGGCCCGCCCAGAGCTGCACTATCCAATACGGTCATCACTAGTCACACGTGGCTTTTTAAATTTAAATTAATTGAAATTAAATAACATTTTAAAATTCACTTCCTCGGTTACACTGGATTAGAACATTTCCATCCTATTGGGCAGCTGGAGCCCAGGGGGGGGGGGGGGGAGCTAATTCTGGGGGAACATTCCAGAACCTCTGTGAGCCGGGCTCTGCCGGGGAGGAGCTGAGGCAGTGGTGGGGACAGAGGGAGCAGGACCTGCTGCCAGCGCCACCAGGACACTGACCCGGGGCTCGGCCTTCCACCCGGCACAGCCAGTGCGGAGCCCGTTCGGGAACCTTCCTCTGATGAACTGTGACCAAAAAGCAAGATGTTTAAAATTGCTGCAGGACTACAGTGTGTACTCCACAAGCATTTACTGAGCTCCTGTCCGTTCCGAGGACACTTTGATAGGCACCACAGGGGGCAGACAACATTCCCTACGCATGTTTTTGCCTCAAGGAGTGAAACGCCAAGCAGATATTAAACAGGCAGTGAGGGCCGCGAAGCTCAGACGGCCCCGTGAAGGCAGACAGGAGGCTGGACGCCTGCGCCCGGGCTCAGACCCTCAAGAGCTCTCCCGGAAAGAAAAGGAAAACCCTCTCTCCGGAGCCCCGCTCCTGGTCTCTTTCTCTCTCCCACTCACTCCTCCCTGTGCCAAACGGCAGCGTCCCCGCAGCCTGCCCCCAAGTCCCAACCCCTCAGCTGCTTCCTGATCTGGTCACCGCTTAACTTACTCGTGCCCCCAAACTCCGACCCCCCTCCCACAGCCACCAGCTCTACTTCCCACTGCTCCACGCCTGGACCAGAGTGCCAACCGAATCCCTTGTGTCTGAGATGCTTTTATGTACCCGGTCCCCTCCCTCCACGTTCCCTGTGGCTATCAGTGTAGCCCCCACGGCAGCAAAGCCCTGCTTTCTAATTTGCAGCTTTCAATCTACTGAAAACTGGGAGACCAGAAAACCAAAACGATCCTGTTCGCCTAAAAATTATTTCATCGTTCAGGACCTGCTCTACCTCCATCTCCTCCCCAGGCCTCCTGCCCTCCCAACCTCCATCTCCTCCCCGGGCCCCCTCCCCTCCCAACCTCCATCTCCTCCCCGGGCCCCCTCCCCTCCCAACCTCCATCTCCTCCCCAGGTCCCCTAGACCCCCCCAGATCCCCTTGGCCCCCCACTCCTGTGAACCGTGCCTGCATCCACCGTTTGCATGGGGCACCAGAGACACCTCTGCCACAGCCCAAGACGTCGTCTATCAGAGCTGGAGTTTACATACACCTGACTCGGAAAGCTGGCCCAATACCTCTGCCATCACACAGGAAAGCAAGCATTCTTCCTGGGTTGCCCGCCGGCTACTCTCTATCGCAACACACCCGCTATAAGACTGAAGATTCAGAAACAGAGCTACGCACTGAACTCTC